CATCCATCGTCAAAATCCAAAATTCTAGGGCGCCCACATTATGGTATAAGGGGGCAAAATAGGAGAGAAAATATATAGAAAATCTTATTGATTTTAGGTACGCAATAGCGTTTTCTCATGACAATATTTGCCCCATTTATATATTGTGATCAATATATATAAAATGGGTAAAGTTGTTATCGGGAGACAAGAAAACAGAAAGCCTTAAATGTTGCTTCTAATCTATATGTATATGAACTTGAAACATATTATATATACTAGAGTAGTGTAAATATAGAGAGATAGAGATAAAAAATTCAAGTTAGAGATAGAATAGAAATTTGGGTAGAGAGAGTGGGTATAACAGTATAAAACATAAGATGTGGAAGAAATGGATTAAGAGATGCCTTTCTAGTGCACATTTTTCAGTTTTGAGTAATGGAAGTCCTAAGGTTTTTTCAAAACATTGAGAAGGTTGAGGCAAGGTGACCCTCTTTCACCATTCTTATTCACAATTGTGGTGTAAAGTTTTGATTTGTTGTTAGGGAATATGGAAGATAGAGGCAAATTCAACGGTTTTAACATTTCAAATAAGGAAAAGCTTTATATAAGGTGTCTGTATAAGTAAGATGTACTTCAAAACTCATCAGAAAATGTTGTTTCATCATTAGAAAAGCATTCAATTGATCATCTCCACTTTAATATGTACGAATATATAAAAACATTTAAATTTCAAGTATTAATAATAGTACATTTTGTAACACATTATCTTGATTGTCCATTATCAATATACTTAAGTGTTCATAGATTTGCTAGATCTGCAATATGTTTGGAGCTTTCAACTTAATAATAGGGGTGAAAAATACATTTTAGGGCGATCATAAGAGTTTTGGTGCTTAAAATACATCTTATAATGAGATTTTGGGGAGCGCCTTACCGTGATTGTTTAAGGTTGACACCTTATACAAACCTCACTCTTCAAATAATGCTCCAGCTGTATCCCACGTGCAATATGTAAATGATACTTCAATCTTATGTGGGCTTAACTTAATGAACTCCTTAGCAGATGCTCTGTCACGACCCTGACATGCTATTTGCTGCAAGGTAAACTTTTTCCGTATCCCATATCTTGGTTTATCAATCTTGGATGCAAGATTATCACATTCGGCATGGGATAAGGTAATTCAAATGTTTTAAGTTAAACTCGACATTCATAAATCTAAGTTATTTTCATTGGGGGGTCACATCAAGACTTGCTTGGCTAACTTACCTATCTAACTGATGTCTATGCCCACTTCACTTGCCAAAAGTATTAAGTGCATGATGTAAAATTTCTTATGGGGATCTTTTGATGATGAGCAGTATCGTTTGTTGAGGTGGATAAAGCGTGCACCCCAAAAAAATGAGGTTTGGGAATTAAAAAGATTATTTGATTGAACAAATCATTACTAGCAAAATTGTAGATGTAAAATATTCAAAACGAATTTCATGTTGTGGAGGAAAGTATTATTGGCATAATATAGGGTGGATAGACATTTACAATTAATTCATAGAGGAGGTGCTCAACAGTCATATATGTCGAGAGCTATTTATAATTGTAAGCCAATTATTAAGAGGAACGCTCGATATATAGTAGGCTAGGATGATAAAACATATTTTTGATTTCACAAATGATTGGGAGTAGGCTTTTAAGGATTTATAATCACGATCTTTTTGCTAAAGTATCACAATCTTTGGCTAAGGTTAATGAGATTGTCAAATGGGGGAGTGTGGAAGAGTATGGATTGCAATATTTTCTTATAACATGGCACCAGATGTGGTGCTCTCTCAATTATATCTAATGCAAGAATTGGACTGAGTTTATATCTCCGACAATGCAGAAGATGAGGCTATATGGGAAGCAGAGAGCGATGGTCAGTTTACAGACAAGTTAGTATACACCGATTACTTTTTTCTATCGGATGAGATGGACACAACCAGCTACCAAACAAATTTGGAAGTAGCTTGAGTTTATGTGTTTCTTATGGTTGGCGATATAAGGTGAAGTTTGAATTGTTGACAATTTAAATAAGATAAAAAATATTTTACCCAATATTTGCTTAATATATGAGGGGAATGAGGAAACTGGGGATCACTCGTTTCTGCATTATAACTTCACAAACCGAGATTTAGTATTAGCATTTTATATGAATGGGTGTGTTGCTGAAGTTACCTTTATAGTCATAAAGATGTACTATAACTCAACTATCCCTAGTAGTTAGTTTGAAAGATTTTTAGAAGGGCATTTTTAATAGGAGATTTAGAGCAGAGAAACATAATGACTTTTGAAGGGAATGAGCTTCCCAATGATAATATTCAAACCTTAATCCAACATACTTTGTGGTGTTAGCTTTCGGTTACTAAGAAAGGTTATGATTTATTGGAAGTTTGTGTAATGTTGAACTTGGGACATTTGGCTAATCAGGGAACTTGTAAATATAGACCGAAATGAAGGTGGAACCCCAATTAAAAGGTTGTTATAAACTCAGATTTTGATGAATGCTCGTTTGGGAACTAGGGATTTTTGAGTATTAGGGGTGCTTAGAGGTTGGAATGATGAAGGCATTTTCTGTTATGCTGGGCCATGTGGATTTACCACAGCTAACCACACGGAGTTAGCTTCTCTTCTATAGGGACTCAAAATTTTAAAATAAAATAACATAGGTGGATATCTTTTGTCAAAGGTGATTCACTTAATTTTGTTAAATAGTGTAATAAGGAGCAGAGATCACCTTGGAGTTTGATATCATATTGGTTGAATATTATATAAATTGCGGCTTCCCTTTAAATCTATTTTCAACATATTTATAGAGAAACTAATGACATGACTGATGGACTTGCTAAGAAGGGGTGTTTCTTTGACTGATTTAGCCATTTTAGATGATTTTAACTCTTTAGTGAATAAATATTGATTAATAAATTATCAATAAAAAAAACATTCAAAAGGATAAAAAGAGGATATTGGGATGATGAAGGTAGAAAGTCTCATTTTTATGTCATACGATAGTGGTAGAAAGGACAAGAAACCATTATTAGAGTTTCGACAATCTGAATCAAATAGCTAATGGCGTGCTTGTCGATTTAAGCATAAACTTTTCCATCTATCAGTAATTATTTATTTATTTATTTTTATTTACTTTTTGATGTTCAGTAATCAAAACTATAACTATACAAAATGTGCATATGAAATAGAACTTCATTTGAAAATAATATTTCTACAATTCCTTTAAAGTTAAAATTAGAATTCCTATAATATCTCTATTAAGATAAAATTATTTATAAAAAATAAAAATTCCTAAAAAATGGGAATTACATTACTAAACTCAAACAAGGATACTTTTCATACAACAAAGGGATAATCTGTATTGGGTCACCACAAAAAAATCGAAGGTGGACGTTAGTTACTTTTTATCATTGTTTCACATTGATATGGGTCAGATCATCGGATTTTCAATCCTGATTGATTCGAATTAGAATCCAAAAAATATTAATAAATAAAAAAATAAAATAGGTTTTTTTTGTTATGGGGGAGGGGTTTAGGTGGGGTATTGGGCTGGTACACATACTTTCCCAGTACTGGATTGGTCCCAACTGATTATTGACCCGCACCAATAATTTTTAAAACATTTTTACGGTTAACTTCCATATTAAGGCTACATATGTACTTATTACTAAATACAATATTGACATTATTACAAGACATTGGTACAAATAAAAGTCATTAACAATTAATTAAAAATATTATTGTACTTTTGTAAAAAATCAAAGTATACCATTACTTGAACATTAGACTACTTATAAAAGATAATATTTAACCAAGTAAATGATTTAAAAAAAAAACACACATATCACAACTTGTTCTGGCCCTATTTTAATGACTCAGCTAAGCTGACTCAAACTCAGCATCTTGTTATGTTGCGTTTCAAGGTACGAACTTGGTTATACAAAAAATCATAAGAATTATTTTGTTATTAAATCAATTTATAAATATCTACATATATTTTAATGTTTTTAATGATAAATTGTGATTTTTTTTCTTGTCATATGATATATTTTTATATTTTCTCATTTCTCTAGATTTTTCAAAATAGTTTCCATCTATAATTTTTTTGTTTTTTCAAATTCCATCTTTTTATATATATTTTTCTTATTTTTTGGGCTTCTAATGTTGTTTATAGTTTAGTTTGTTTTTTTACTGATTTATTTTTAATATTTTATATTTTTAACTCTTTTGTGGTATCATAGACAACTCGGGCATGTATGAGTTCAAGTCCGCTTGAACATGCCCAAGACCCGAGTTACCTAGATCAGGTAGGGCTCAAGTCTGGAGCCTAAGCCTAGTAATTGAATGTTCTGACATTAACCTTTCTATTATGATGGATTGTTAATTATAGAGAAGCCCATCAATAAAATATTTATGTAAAAAAATTGTACCAATGATAAGAAAAAAGTAATCATATATAAGAAAATTATATCAATGATAAGAAAAAAAAAATTTATATGTAAAAAAATTATATCACTGATAAGACAAAATTAATCATATGATTTTTTTTACAATAATATGGGAGTAAAATCAGATACTATATTACAAATTGAATAAACAAAATAAAAACAAGCATTATTCTTATCAATTCGTGAAATTAAACTAGTTGTCTTTCATTTAATTTCTCAGCTGGAGTAATAGCTAGTTTGATTGCACTATGAAATTCATCATATACTAGCGCAAATTTTCCTCACTTATATAAACTTTCTATACTTGCATTAAAAAACTTTACAAACTTAATCAACTCAAGGCGAAATTTCGCCTAAAATCTCGTCCGAAATCGCAAACTTCCGCGCTCTCGTATTAACGCACCAAGAATAGAGACCTGTCGCACGAGCGAGGTTCAGGATGAGTTTGAGGAGGACGGACGGTCAGGATGAGTTCATGGCCTCGCTTTTAATATCTATTTTTTTTCTATCTATTATCCTACTCCTTTTCCCCTTCCCCTCAGAGAAAAAAAAACACAAACCAAAATTTCATTTCCGTCTCTGCGTTGAAGGGCACATTTTATCGTCTTTCAAAAACCCTAACTCCTTCCATTTCACGATTCTTTCTCTAAAAACCTAGCTCTGGTTCGCCGTCTTCGTCTGTTTTTTCCCTAGCTATTGGAACCCCTAGTTCTGGTTCTTCACTGAAACCCTAACTCGCCATTTCTCGGCTGTTTTTGTTCTCGCTCTGTGAAATCCCTAGCGCACTACTGCCCATCTGATTTTTGCTCTGGTTCGTGAAAACCCCTGTTTGTTTTAAAAAAGGGGCTTTATACGAGTGCGCGATGCCGCCTCGAGGAAAGAGAGGGGGTTCAGCCAGGAAGACAACACCCAGGACAAAGAAAGCGCAAGCCAAGGATGTGAAGGAGGAACCGGTGATAGAACCAGCCATTGTTGATGTGGAACCGGTGATAGAACCAGCCACTGTTGATGTGGAACCGGTGATAGAACCAGCCATTGTTGATGTGGAACCGGTGATAGAACCAGCCATTGTTGATGTGGATAAAGCTTCTGAAACAGAGGTTCCCATGGCTTCTTCCTCTCCCACAAACGTTACTGAGCCAGAGGTGCTTATAGTGGCTTCATCTCCTCAGAAGGTCACCGAGCCAGACGTGTCTGTAGTTTCTTCATCTCCTCAAAAGACTTCTGAAACAGAGGTTCCTACAGTTCCATCTTCTCTGAAAGATTCTGAAACAGCCTCTGTTTTAGAGAGCCCTGAGCACGAGAAGGTGCCCGAAAGCGATAATGGTTTGGGTGATGTTGTGATGGAGAAGGAAGAAGAACCAGAGATCCAAGAGGAAGATGGTGAAGCTAAAGAGCACAAGGCTGAATCAATGGATTTCGATCAAGGTAAACGACTTTTATTTCGCTTTAATTTTCTGATTTTTGTTGGTAGAACTTAGGCAATAAATTTTGTACTTGTGCATATATGGATTTTCATAGAAGAAGATGTAATTTTTCAATTCACACGCATAAGAATTTATAGAAAGGGCATGGGCAAGATACAATTCTATATGCTGTATATGTATGGGAATTCAGAGGATACCTAGTAAAGTTAGAGAGTGATGTATTGCATTGGATAGTTCTGTGAGTTTGTCTGCTGCAATGGCTATCAATGATTGAGTAGAGCACCATGTGACTGGCAATTGGCCCTTGCTACTATGGTCTGATTCATTAACCCATATAAGGAACCTTTCTGGGATTCCAACATCCCCTTTCTAGGGAAGATTCCATCATTTGGGCCCCCAACTCCTCGGGAGTCTTCAGTGTATCCTCCTACTCCTTACTGCGTCCCACATTGGATCCCTCCCCTCTCCTTAACAAGCTCTGGTCCATTCCTATCCCCCGAAAGGTCCAAGACTTTGCTTGGATCCTCCTTCAAGGTTGGGTCCTAATCTTGGATCAACTTCAGTAGCGCGGTCTTTCCTTCTCCTAACCGTTGCATTTTGTGCCTTCAAGAAGAGGAGACCATACCCCATCTTTTTATACACTGCGTGGTGTCCTCCTCCTTGTGGCCTCCCGCCTTCAACTCTTTGGCGTTCAATGGGTCACCCTGTTTCCCTATCGCAGCTCTTTTCAGGTCGGGTCAACTCTGTCCTCCTTTCCCTGCAAACGGAAGAAAATTGTGGCGTATTTCGATGGTGGCTCTCCTGTGGTCTATTTGGATAGAAAGGAATGCTAGGACTTTCCGTGGTGTTGCTCGACACCAGTTCCCTCTTTTTGATTCCGTCCTCGCCTTGATCTCCTTCTGGGCAAAAAATATTTCAGTCTTCACCTCGTTCCTCTTAACTCACTTTTGGGGTAATTGGGAATGCCTGCTATCCCTTGCTTCCCCTTCATCTCAGATTAGGGCTGTATGGAACCCTCCTTTCCCTCGGGGGGAGTGTAAGTGGGTTCTTCTCAAACCTGAACACTGATGGATCTTTTCTTGGGAATCCCAGCCCACTGGGCTTTGGTGGCAGCCTCGCCAACTTTGAGGGTGTTTGCATTTCTTTCTCAGGGCCCTTAGGAATCTTAGAATGTGCCATAGCTGAAGCCCTGGCATTGCTCAAAGGCTTCAAGAGGGTCTCCCAAGTTGGCACACAATCCACTGGTGTTCTTGTTGAGTGTGATTTCAGCAATATAATCCTTTGGGCATCCAACCTCAAACAGCCCCCTTGGCGCGTGACATCCATCTTAGACCAAATTGCCTTCATGTGCAGATCCCTACCGCCAGTCACCATCAAATATATTATCCAAGGAGCCAACACAGCAGCAGATAGCCTCACAAAGGATGGAGCTCATAGTGTTCTTGGCACAAAATTGATTTCGCTCTAACCTCTCTCCGTTCTCTCCTCTACAGTTACGTCTTCCTTCTCTATATTTCTCTCTCTTTTTTCTTATGTCCTTCTCCCCACTTATATATATTAAAAAATAAAAAAATAGAAAAAGGGGGATATGAAAGAAAAAGGAAAAGAAAAGGAAGAATTCTCGCTGATTCTCCCCTTCTTCTACCCATCAGTCTTCTTTCTTCTTCTATCAACCTCCCCTATTACCTTCCTCTTTATTCTCAATCTTATTTCTCTTCTTGTTTTGGGGTTTTTACCTTTTCTACCTTCTTGCCTCTTATCTTTCTTCGTATATCTCTATCTTTTATCTTTGTTTCCCAGGCTGTACTGTTTTCTCACATTGCTGCTCAAACCCCACTTCACCTTCTCTCTCTCTCTCTCTCTCTCTCTCTCTCTCTCTCTCCTTCCCCCACATTTTCTCTCTTCCTCTTCCTCTTGCTCTTTCCTTCCCTTTCGCAGAGTACTGTGGTTCTCTCCCTCCCCCCCTCTCTCTCTCCATCTCTCTAGTTTCTTTTGTGTGAAAGAACCTCGAGTTACCATAAGCCGCATTTTTTGGGTCTCCAACCAGGTTCACTCTAGCAATCCAAGCTTACGCTATGCATATTCTTTCCTCATTTCTTATCCAAAGAAAAATCCTTTCCTTATTTTGACATTTCTAGTACGTTCCTGATTATAGAATCTTTTGTCCTCCAGCATCAGTGTTGCTTATTTCATTCTACACTTCTCTAACCTCTCAACCAGTGGTTTAAAAAATGGATTGGTGCCACGGATCGGGAACCCCAAAAACCCATCCGGATCGGTGAATCGGCGTTTCGGATCGGGAATAGATCAAACCCAATCGATTCGGCTTTAAAAAAAATTCAAAAAAAATTATTAAAAATCATTATAAATGTTGTTTTTTTGGAATCTAATAAGAAATGAGGGTACTACATTAATAACTTTTATTTTTTTTGCATCAATAAGCGAATATTGAGATTTTCTTTCCCATATGAAGATTCTCATCAAACATTTATTAAAACATAACTAGATACAATATTATACATTGAAATTAGAATCATTGGTTTGTATTTTATTATTTTATCATCATTTTACTAAACACATAAAGTGAAATTAGTATCACATCAAAGTATCAAACATTTATTATTTTGTTTTACTCATCCAAAATTATTACAACCTAAGTATAATAGTATATATTGAAATTAAAGTTGTTGGTTTATAACTTTATATTTTATAATTATTTTATTGTATAAATAAAAATCTAAAATGTCTTATAATATCATCTAATTTAAAAAATCTTATTTTCAATTATAAAAAAAAATAATATATTACAAAATTTATAATATAAATAAATTAATAATAAAGTACAAGATTGGTTATCATTGTATAATTGTTAATTATAATATAATAATAAACATGTTTAAAAATTATTAGAAAATGCTTCCATATCATATGATTAAAAACAAAATAATATCCCCCATAAATTTTAATGTGATCATATTCATATGAGTATACTGACATAAGTTTAACCAGTTATTAAGATAAATATTAATACGACTTTCTATATAATTGTACTATTTTTTGTAAATGAATTAAATAGAATTTCTTTATGTAATTATATGCAATTAAAACTTAACTATATGTACTTTTATTTTTTGTACATTATAAGAAAAGGAATAAATATTATTAAATAATTAAATAGAATTTCTTTATTTATAGTATTAAAAATATTTATAATTATACAACAGCATTTGGTGAAAACTACGCATTATTTTGAAGATGCTTGGAGCGCTAAGGGGGGGAGCAAGTCCCACATCGGGGAATTTAGGAAGAGCAAGGCTTAATAAAAGTCTTGGGCTTGAACGGTTGGTTGTCACATGCAACGCATGCTGAGAAAAACTACTGCAGATGCGTTGTATCATGTGGCTTGTGGATGAAGGCTGGCCAATTGTACTTTCCCAGCAAAAAGGTGAGGTGCTCGTAATTTTTGAAAAAAAAATGAAACAGTAGTACAAACGTGGCAGTCCATGACGTAAGCAGGAGACCCCGTTATGTCAACACTCGGTTTAATGTGGAGAATTGTCCGATCCTGTTTTTTCGTTGGACCCGACACGGGTTGGACAATACCCTATCCGGATCGCTCGATTCCGGATCAGGTCACGGATTTTTAAAACACTGCTCTCAACCAATTAAACATAGTTGTTATTTATTCTTATTGTTTCCTTTTGATACAAAATTTGTTGTTATTTCATTCCTTAGGGGCCCTTTTGGTTCCCCAAAAATGGGACTCCTGGAGTCCCATTTAGAATGACCTGTTGGTTCCTTCTGAAGACATAAATTGACATTTCGTAGGGAGTCCTGGATTCTCATTTTAAGCCAAATTTTAGGAAATATCAATTCCATCGATATTTTTTAAATGATAACATGATGTTAATAGTAATAAAAGATATTATATTTTTATATAATTACTATAATTAGCCGACTCCAATTAATTGGGATAAGGCTTGGATGATGATGATGATGATAATTAGTATATTATATTATAATAAATTAATAATATCTTTACAATACAATAATATTATTATAATATATGATAATATTTTTATAATATAATAACACTCTAATATCATGTTAATGCTAAAAAATATATTAAAATATTATCATTACAATATAATAGTTATTATATTATTTAAGTATTATAATTGATATAAATAATTCTAATAATAGCATTGTAATAATTAATATAGTACTATATTATCATATTAATACTAATAAAATAATATTATGTTATTGATAAATATTATAATTGTGATGTTAATGTTTGAATGCACATGTTTTGTGAAAATGTAATGTTTTTTTTTAATGTGTTGGCTTTGTTTGTGAAATGTAATGTTGGAATGAAGGGATCTCACCTTTGCAGGTATTGATATTATATTTGAACTTGTTGAATTTTTTAATTTTTATCTTCAAATATTGGTTGTTGCTAGATATTAGAAGACAAACTTGGCAATTTCGCCATATATTCCTCACTTGGACAAACACTAAAAAGGACTAAACAATTTTTAAGTGCAATAATCACAACATTGAGAATGGTTATTTTTTAAAAAATAATGATACGAAGAAAATTTTTCAATTTCCTGAGGATACATCTTCCAGGCAATCCAAATAGTGAAGGTGCATGTTCTAGATCTTTGCCAATTATCCAAACAACATACATCCATCTTCCAGGAAATGCCAATTCTAGGAGATACCAATTCCAAAATACACATTTCCCTAGGAGTTCCATTTCTAGGGAACCAAATGGGGCCTAAGGCTTAAGATGATCCGTGGTAGCGCTTAGTTTGTTATACCGACCTAGCCCCTCGTAGAGAAAGATCTACAACACCTATGAACGTTTGTGCTTTCTTCAATTTGCTCTATCAACATTTCCATATAGAGCTCAATGATGCCAACTTGATAGAGCAGTGGTTTGAGGCAACCTTGCTATTGCGTGTTAGGTCACCAATGAAAATGAGCTTCCCAATCCATTAAGATAATAAATATGTTAATTGTCATAATTTAGGGTCCTCATAGTTATTGAACCCAATCAAATTGGCACCAATAATTCAGAAGTTGTTCATGGAGTGTGAATGGCTAGTCTATCCACAAACTCCATGCAATTCTTCATTCTTGTGGTTATCCTACTGCTCCCTTTTCTCTCGTTGGAAACCTAATTACAATAAAATCTTCCCCATGCACGATGTTTGATTTGTGTTGCTCCTAAGAGAATATATTTCACTGTATAATTGCTCCATGTCACCGAGGTTATTGGGTCTATAAATCAGAGTCAAAGCATATATCAATGTGTGAATATAATTCTAGAGATTGAATAACAGAAAGTTCCCCAAGGATGCATCTGTGATCTTTTCACACTGTTATTATTCCACATGATGCATAAAATTGATTTCCCTTGAAGCACCTCCAGAACAATAGGCAACACATCCATATCTCCTTCCCACCATCATCAGACAACATTTCCATCTAGTTTCTCTAAGTTTTCTTCCTACATAATCAATAAACAAAAATTTGGCCGTCTTGTTGCCTAGGCGCTTAAAAAAAAAAGGAAATTCAAATCCACCCAAACAAAAATAAGGCCTGGTATTGGCCTTCTCTCTCACTTTCTCTATCTCTCGGGTCTATGTGCTCTCTCTACATTTGAGAAGAAGAAGGAGAAGATGGACTCCAAGTGTTCGATGCGCGGCTTCTCTCTCTCTCTCTCTCACACACACACACACACACACACACACATGCACACACAGAGATACACATGGACCCATATGCTCCTTCTTTACATGTAAGAAGAAGAAAAAGAAGAAGACGACCTCCAAGTCTTCGATGTCAGGTCCCTCTCTCTCACAAACTCTCTCTCTCTCTCTCTCTTGACATATCCTCCAAGTGTTCGAGACCTCTCTCTCGCAAATATAAATTCAAAAAAAGAAAAAAAGAGAATGATCGTTAAGAATTTCATGCGAGACCTCAAACACACACATACGTGCATGCGCACACACACACATGAAACATATATGCACACACATTCACAAAATACACACACAAAAAACAACATATGGCCCCCACCCCAACCCCTTCCCTTATGGGCCACCTTTGTGTCTCGGTGCCCACTTAGGCAGCCCAGACCCTTGACCGGCTCCGCCTTTTTGAACATTGTGCATAATATTCACAACTACTCCTTTATGTGTCCTATATCACTCTATGTCCTTAACCCCCTCACGTTTCATGATTGCACCTTTATACTCATCTTCATTTGTTTGTATTGGGTGCAACTAAATTTATTCCACTTTCTCTTTGGATGTCATACTAAAAAGAAACTATGAATTAATTTTTTTTCTAGTTTACAAAAAAAGGAAATTATCTGTAATGTCCTGGTGAGGTATTATCATTATTATTATTTTCTTTTAAGTGTCTTGCGGAGCTCTATTGGTTTTGTCTCTAATATTTCTCTTTGGCCCAAAATTGTGAAGAAAGATAACTTCTATAAAAAAATATTGTAAATCAATAATGAAATTCTATGCCATAGGAGAATGTTGAAAGTTTATAATCTTGTGATCAATCTCTTTTTTGAAACTTGATAAGGTCCATGCTAATAGTTGGTTATCCATGCCATTGACTGAGGACTTTATTATTCCCGCTGACTAAAAAAAAAAGGTTTTCTTCATGTCTATACTGCTACTTTGATGAGTTCCTGGAGTTCTTGCTGAATTCTTTGACTATAGTTTGGTGGTTGTTAGTAAGGTTGCTTTTGTGGTGTTTGGATTTTTTTCCTTTCTTGTGGCCATCTTTCTTATGTACAAACTAGTGTAGGAAACGTCGAACCGGAACGGCTAACCGGATATGGGGTTGGAAGCGGTTCAACCAGCCTAACCGGTAAACTGGCCGGCAAGTCCTGGGCTGTCAAAAAAGTGTTAAAAAAATACAAAAAAAAAATCAAAGACATCAGTTGAAAATTAATGAAAAAAATGTATTTTAAAGAATGGATTTGTGCCCAGGGGTATTTTGAAATTTTCCAAAAAAGGGAAAATGTAAGAAGTATTAATGGCCAAACCAATTTCCAATCTTTGCTAAAATGATGAAAAACATTAAAAAATACATTACAAACAAATCCATTATTTTTTTGGGATTTTATATAACTTTTTTTAATTTTGTTTTAAAATACCCAATCGGCTCACCAAAACTGAAACTGGCCAGTGGCGGGTTCCGATCTAACCGGACAGTTAGAATTTGAACCGTCCGATTTTTTCCTACACTGTGTACAAACACACACTGAGAAAGAAAGATCATTTGGATCTGGGTATCTTGTTAGACATTCTTCTTCTTTGCAGATTATGTCTACTTTTTACTGATTTGGATGTTTGATTTAGGTGTCTCGCATGCCGAGCAGGATGCAGTTGAAGAAAATACAGCAGGTAATGTTGCAGACACTACCGATATGCATGAAGACAGCGATGGACCTGCTGAAGCTGATGAAGGGGTTGAAGGGGGTGAAGATGCTAACCCAAGTGAAAGTGATAATGAAGAGGAAGAACCCATGGAAGAAAATGTTGAGGGAGAAGACCCTTCTTTATATATGGAAGCTTCTCTATCAGAGAGAAAAAAAGAGAAAGAATTTGAAATATTCATTGGTGGGTTGGATAAGGAAGTTGTTGAAGAAGATTTAATCAAGGTCTTTGGTGAATTTGGAGAGATTGAACATGTAAGGCTTCTGAAGAATCCTACAACCAAGAAAAACAAGGGTTTTGCATTTATTCGATACGCTACTGTAGAGCAGGCCAGAAAGGCTTTGGCAGAACTGAAGGAACCAGAGGTTGCACTTCCTCTCAATTTGGCCCTTCTCTAATTTGGAATTTTGACTATACCCCCTCCAACCTCTTAATATTACATTCACCATTTTTATCAGGTGAGGGGCAAGCGATGTGGGATATCAGCTAGCCAGGACAATGACACCCTATATGTGGGCAACATTTGCAAGACTTGGACAAAAGATAAAGTAAGATTTTCTGCTTGGATTTCTGCAGTCTGTTATGAGCTTTTACCATCTTTTTTTTCAGTGTTTTAGTATTTCATGTATGTCGTTTATATGGTAGCCAAGTGAGTATGCACTGCTACTGCATGTTTTATGTGCAGTTATGCATGTGCTTTCGCGTATTTGGTGTTTGTGAATGTTTGAATTCCAACGTCCATATTTCTATTTGTCAAGATTCTACGCATGTAATCATAGGTAATACGTGTCACTTCATATTCCGCCAGGGTAGTTGGAAATCATATGACTGGTGTGCTATTAGCGTTTTTGAATAATGTAACGGTAAAAAACTGAAAGAAATCAGGGTGTTGTGGATAGGAGAAACTACTTTCTGGTTTCCCTTTGTTCTTCTCTAAAATCCTTGGGTTTTCTCTCTTCGTATCAGATTATACAATGACAAAGTTCACTTAACAAGAAAATGCAATATTTTATGTTGTCTAGGTACTTGAGACATTGAAGAGCCTTGGGGTTGAACAGATTGAGGAAATGCTTATACCTGATGATCCAAAAAGTGAAGGAAAGAGTAGGGGCTTTGCTTTTCTGGAGTTCAGTACACATTCTGATGCTATTGCAGCATTCCAAATTCTGCGGAAACCAAATGCTGTTTTTGGTTGTGATCGAAGTGCAAAGGTGTCATTTGCTCAATGTTCGATGCATCCTAGTGAGGAGGCCCTCTCACAGGTTAGGAAAGTCTATTGTATTCCTGTCTAGTAGTGTTATAACTATGCCAAAAGATATTCTACTCCCGCGAGAGTAGAATGTACATTTACTCCCTTGGGTTAAACCCAACCTAGAATTAATTTTAGGACTCCAAATTTCGGGGATGTAACCTCGTCAACCCATAGATTAACCTCAATTAAAAAAATCCTAATTGTACCCTCTATGCATTTGAAAAAAAAAATGTCTTGAGATTGAATAGAGACCATCCTATTTTTAGATGGTGAGATCTAAATGTTAGAAAACTCAAATTTCATGTTTTGTTTTTTGAGAATAATCATCTAGTAATTCTTAAGTGGTTCCCAAAATTTCAGATTGAAAAAAATCCTCCGAAGTAGATCTTATGAGCTAGGGAGTATAAGCAAACTATGCTCCTGAGGGAGCATATATGTGCTCTATTATTATGTGCACTTTGCAATGTAACTTTGTTTGGGTGTTTTCCTTTTCTTTCCTTGGCTATGTGACATAGCTTTGTGTCCACTTGGATTAAGTTGGATCTATTTTTTCTGCTTAAATTTTCCTTTTTGGGCATGGTGATGTGGTTGCTAAAGGTTAAACTAATATTCTGAGGAAAGTAAAATGGGGAACAAAAAAGGCTAGGAGTGATTGCTGCTTCCATACCTATTAATAATGTGTTTTCCAACTACTATTTAAGATTGAATGATAATTGGATGGTTTTGCAGGTGAAAACTGTTTATGTTGAGGGCTTGCCAAACTCTTGGGATGAGGCAAAGATTAAGGATCTTTGCAAGCAATATGGTGACATTGAGAAAGTTCAACTCTCCAAAAATTTTACTACTTCGAAGCGGAAAGATTTTGGATTCGTTACTTTTGTTTCTCGAGAAAGTGCTCTTAATTGTGTGGAGGGATTAAACAAAGCCGAACTTGGGGAGGGGGAGACCAAGGTGATCCACTTTTCTCCGTTGCTCGTTTTGGTTTTTTTTTTTCCGGTTGAAATTTGAATTATACTCAACTAGGCTTCAGTTTGCTATTGTTTCCTAATCCTTGAAATTTCTGGCATTCCAGATCAAAGCAAACCTTGCTAAGCCCCTTAACAAAGGGCGTCTTGCCAAGCAAGGGGCACGTGGAGGTTTTAGGCTTAAGAAAGATGGAGAGAACATTGGCCAAGGGCCTGGTGAGCCGAGTGGTTCCAAGTTGAAAGGGATGAATTCTCAAGGTCGCTTCAAGGCTAAAGGCCAATTGAAGTCAAAAGGCGCAAAAGGGAAGCTACATGAGGCAAAACCAGCAGATAAACATCCTAATAGGGGGCAAATTGCTCAGCAAGGAAAACGCAATAGGAGAGACCAAGAAATTGATAATCGTAGACCTCCAAAGAGAACACGCAATGATAGGAGCAATTACGGTATGATGGTTCTCTCTCTCTCACAGACACATACAGACAACACACAAGTGGATAGGTGGGCTTGTAAACTGGGGAATTTTAAACTGAAGCTGATCTTAATGATCCTATTATCTTTTTCCAGGCAATGTGCATGGCTTTCCTACCAGGAACATGGCTATCGAGAGAAACTATAGGCCTGCTAGGCCTATAGAGTATCCTCCCTCATATGCTTATAGGGAGCCATATGCAGCTGACTATTCCTCGAGATATTTGGCTTTGGTAAAATACCAGTTCAGCTTGTTCTACTCATAATGTGCAGTACGCCATTTAGATTTTTATTGGCTCAGATGAATGGGACAGCGGGCCTTTGTCAATTGGATTGGGGTATTTGCTACCCGAAGTAATATGTGTACTGTATGTTCCCGATGATGGATGGAGATTAATTTTAGGGAAAATTTCGTATAGAACCCTAATTTCTTGTATTATTTTATGGTAGACCTTTCGTCTATTTTTCTTTCAAGCGGCATAAGAAAATTCCTAAAGATTTCACTATACCCCTTCATCTTTCATCTCCTTTTTTTATTGACTTTTGATAATAAAAATTAGCCCCAACAAATATTTTTATACCATTTCAACCCAAAAACCTTTTTAATGGGTGGAAAGGGAAAAAGAGGGTTAAAATTTTTTTTGGGATGGATAGTATAAAAAATATTTGTTGGGGTCAAAAGTCAATAAAAGAGGGAGATAAGAGATGAGGGGGTATGGTGAAATTCTTAGGGATTTCATTATGCCGCTTGAAAGAAAAAGAAAAACGGAAAGAGGGTATACCATGAAATAATGAGAAGAATTAGGGTTCTATAGGAAATTTTCCCTTAATTTTAATTGAGCAAATGTGCTCGGGTACATGTGCCTTTGGGGTCCCCTCGCGTCAATCTCTATTCATCAGTGAGACTGGACAGTGGATATTGCCTTTGAGTCAATTGGCCGTGCTCCACTATCCCTTTATGAATACAAAATAAAATCATCAATTGCTCTATGTTTACCCTCAATAAAATTATGTTGCCCTATAAAAGAAATCGTTTCTCAAGAATCTGTGTTGTTCAGGACCCCCGTGGAGGATACGTTTCATCTTCAATAGGGCAAGGTCAAGCATCGTATGGGTATGAGAAAAAAGGCTTTGTTTTCTTCGTCTTAATGTCTTATTTTTCTTACTGATAAAGAATAAAGAGTAAAAAAAAAATTCTTTGTTTTTCCCTGTTCATTGTATTTCGCGGACACTAATCTGCTTTTTTCTGGGGCCTGGCAGAGCTGCTGGCTATGGTGGCCAACCAAGTAGTTCTGCATATGCTTATGGTTATGGAGGAGGTAAGTATATTGCATCTCTTTTGGAATTTTCTTTTTGGAAAATGAGATGAAAACAATTAAACATTTAGCTAGCTGACCTATCTGAACTTGTGAAACAGAATATAGTTAAACACTTAAACTATGAAAAATTTGCTTAAAATTTTCAGGAAATATTGTGAACATATAGGCATAAGAAGATAGGGAATATATATATCCAAGTCCGTTTCTTATTGATTATTCTTGGTGATGTTGCATTTACAGGGACACTTCCACCTTCCTATGCGGAATATCGCGAGGTCTCTCTCTCTCTCTCTCTCTCTCTCTCTCTCTGTTAACAAAGATGAACTGAAGGATCTATATGTGCTCCAATAAAAGAAAGAGAGAATTTTTCACTCAATTTCATGCTATTCAGTTATAACGTAGGGGTTCCCAAAAGTGCTGAAATTTTTAACTTATACTAGATAAGTTCTTGAGGCACCCCTGCTTATCAATTGAAAGAAGCCTAACCTTATTTAATATGAAATTGGCATGACCACTAAGATCAGTGATATTCAGGCTGCATCTTAATCTGTGATTATTAGAGAAGTATCTTTTTGCTGCCTTAACTCAGGAAGACACTCAGCCTCCAACTCTACCCATCTCTCTCTCTCTCTCTCTCTCTCTATATATATATATATATGGAAAAGTTTATATGAGGTTGACACCTTATAATTTAGAATTAAGGTGTACTTTTAAAATCTTTTGAAAAAGATTATTTGATGTTTGGAAAACATCAAATTAATTATCTTGCCATCGAGATATATAGACATGGAGAAAAAAAAAGAGTTCTCTAGTCTTGAAAATAGTACCTCTTGCAACACATTATTTACGCCATCAATTTTTTAAGATTTTCATTCGTTTATAGATCTACTTGATGTTAACTGCTGTTTTTTTAATGTTAACTGGTAGTAATGTGTTAGCAATTTTTGGAACCATTAGTATTTTTTGGAAAGGGGCTAGCATTGGTAGGAATGGAAACGGAGATTAGTAGCTGAGTCATAGGTGGTGGCTCCACCTTGACCTCAATCCCATTCCTTGATTTTAACTATTTTCGAAGTTAAAAATTTTATAATTAGAGATAAAAATAAATTCTCCCACGGTCTTAAGAATTTTGACACCACAATTGCATCTTATGAAAAAATTTGGAGGTACACCTTACTTTGATTGTTTAAAGTTGCAACCTCATGCAAGCCACATGCATATACATACATATATATTGAAGTGGGTATTTATATATATTTGTGTTTGGTGTTGACAGGGAGCCTATGGTTATTCAAGAGGTGGATATCTCTCACGTGGTTCAAGACCCTATTATTAATCCATCAAGGATCGTGGACCTGTTTGAGATGCTTCTATTGCAGAGATTACTTTCGAGTCTCATCAGTGATTCAACAAGGAAATCATACACTGGAGAAATAAATCAAAGCTTATTATTAAGCTTCTCTCATGTTTTGCCAGCCTTGTTGATTTTTCCTGAGATCTTTGATATGTTGTACTATCTTCTAAACGTTATGAGTTCCTTTACTTACTACATTTTCCTCTCTAAAGGGAAACTTGATCGATACAGTCAAAGACAAGCTAGTGCAAGATCAAGATCTCTTCTCTGCATACACCCCCGGTCCATATTGTACATCACTGCAGGTCAAAAACCTAGTAAATGGATTTTAGAGAGTAAGAAAAGCACGATCTTGAGCTTGCCTCAAAATTTAAATCTTCTTCAAAACTGAATATGGTTCTTTCAGTTTGATGGACATCAGATGTGGGGTGCTTGAGCTTGAAATCAGCTTCTCATTTGTGATACAATTTATGGATGCCTAAGTTGATTTCATATGATTTTAGGTCGAGTCATTGATGTAGCCGCTTTCTTCACCCCAAAGGTTATTTTTAATTGATTTTAGGACCAACAGAAATTCATTTGAGAAAAAATTGAAGAGTTGCAACTTTATTTGCAGGAGGTTAGAGTAACCTCTGTTTTATTTGGAAAGTATAATTTAGACAATCACAGTAAAGCGTACCTCTAAACGGTGTCGAAAGATAATTTTTCAATGGCAAAAATATTCACGAGGTATGAATAGTAATTATAAAATTTAAACATAAAAAAATAGTTTAGATCAATCAGATCTATAAATACTTGAAAATATTGAAAATTAACAGCCATGAAATCTAATTTTTTGCACATCAATAATCTTAAGAGGATCAATTAGAGGGTTTTCTTGACGTCGAAACCACCTCTTCTAGCGAATTTTTGAAGTGCATCATAATTTACGTTGTTTAGGTTATCTTGTACAATATCGCACTAATTTAATTTGGGGGAAAGTTTTTTATGTTCTCCCTACAACATAGAAGTTCTATTTTTTGTTTTATCGAACTTTCTATTTTTTTTAATAGAGGGTTAAGATTGCCTCAATCACATTGTCACGTTTCTACACTTTCATTTTAATTTTTTTTTTCTATTAACTGTTTTGATACCAAATTTTGGACATCTATTCATGTATTAAATTTGTACTAACGAAAAATATATAAAAAAAAATTTTAATAAAATAAAATAATCAAAATACTCTTGAAAGTTTTAAAGGGTATTTTGGTCATTAATTTTTATTGAAAAATTATTGTTTATATTTTTTATAGGTGCATCTCAATGAGAAGATGGCATATAGCAAATTTTATATTCAGAAAAATTGTATGAAAGAAACTGAAAATAAAAAACTTTGAGACATTGGATCTAAAATCAAGCGGTGAGTGGCTCTCTTGATAAAAAATGGATGGCTGAATGATAGGGGAAGGATAGAATATCTATGTTGTAGGGGAAAAGCTCTCCCTTTAATTTGCGGTGGCGTTTGAAGATTTATCTAAGTTCAAACCAAAAACTTTTAGGTAAGCCATAAACTTTTCGGTGAGCAATGTCAAATTCTAATTAGCATCCCCAATGGCAAACTAGCTGACCTCTAAGATGATTCTCAAAAATTTCGTATTAAACAGATACAGGCTATTATCAAACAGGTGCTCTGGTTAGATGCTGGCTATTATCAAACGGCCACGGTTTCTATGTGGCCAGCCTGTAGAAATGTGGGCTTGAAAATTAAAAAATAATTTTTAAATATAATTTGATCTAAATTTTCAGAAAATATATAATCACGGGATCATGAAGATGAAAAATTAAAAAATAATTGCATCCATCTTTAAGATGGATACTTTATCCCTCAAGACCATATATTGTACAAATGCGGTCCAGCTTGCATCAAACAGGTGTTGGCTGGTGGGTGCTTAACCCTGGGGTGCAAGTGTGTAAGATTCCATCATAACGATCAACAAAAAAAAAAAAATTTTAAATAAATAAATAAAAATGTATATGATTCCACCGGAGGACGCTACCAAGCATCGGGCTGTGGCTTCTTCAAAGCAGAGAGATGCTATCTTTTAGTATTAGAAATGACTTGTTTTGTTACGCAAGTCTCAATTCTTCTATATTCGATGATCAACACATCAAAACTTGACACATACGGTCAATGTTAACCCAGATCGATGACCGCCCACGCCAAATTTTCCTTGAATGGTTAAATTTACGTTAGTGGGAGCATGAGCAAAATCAATGTTCAGTGAGAAGTGTAATGAAAAGGGCCTGATAGTAGCATACCTACACCCTAGTCACCACATCGTAATTTCTATTCCCGACACCACATCGTAATTTCTATTTCCGACACCATCAGCTCACTAATACCTTCAAAAAACTAGCCATTCCCGATACCACCGGACCACTAACGCTTTCAAAAAACTAACTCAAACTATTTTTAAAAAAAAATTGGGTAAAAGCCCATATTCCCATTGAATTACCAAAAAACATAGAGTGGGCAAAAGTGGAAAAGGGCCTGGAATAAATTATGTAAAACAAAAAAACAATCCACATGAGAAAATCTCACTTTTTCTCTGGTGTTTGGGTGTGAAAGGGTGAATTATTATCGCACCTGATTTCTATACGGCAAGCCCACATATGTAGAAATGCAGGCCTCTTAATAAATCTATTTTTGAGATGGATTTTAAGATTTAAGTTTTTATGTAATCTATTACATAGAGATCATGAATATGAAAAAATAAATAAATTTTAAAAACTAGAAATAATAATTCTAATAAAAAAACATATAGAAATGCAATCCAACCTGCATGAAAGCATTTTTCATTATCATGAGGCTAAAACTAATGGGAAAAATTTATATAGAGCCGAGGCTCTAAACAATCAAATTTAAACCTACCTCAAAATTTTAACTAGAAGTTCTTTTGATGCCCAAATATCTTTCAATCGATCATCTCGACATCAAGATGAATGGACATGAAAAAAAAATGGATTTCACCTTTAGAAAATAATGTATTTTGTAACGTGTTTTTGAACCGTCAATTTTCAAGTTTTCATATATCTATCGATATATACTATTTTTGAAGCTTTGAACTTCATAAATGAATGTAAAAATACATTTTCAGGCTATTACAAAGATTTTCAATATTAAAACCACATTTCTCCACACTATTTGAAGGTATGCTCTAATTTGATTGTTAGAGCCTAGGCTCTATACAAACACCACCCAAAGCTAACTTGAACAATCCAATTAAGACGTACCTCCAAATTTTATCATAACAAGCAATTTGGCTATAAAAAATTCTTCGGATTATCTAAAAATCTACTTTAATAATAATATTTTAAACTCCAAAAATAGCTAAAATCAAGTAGATCTATAAATATATGAAGAACTCGAAAATGGACATTCTAGATAATGTTATAAGATTGCACCATTTCTAGAACTCAAAATCTTTTTTTTTTTTCCATTTTTTAGGGTTCTTCAACATTAAAACAACCTTTTCCGATAGATTTTTGAGGTGCATCTGGACTTCTACATTTTAAGGTTTGAACCTTATATAAATTTTTTCCAAATTGGAAATTGATTTTAAAACAATCACGAAGATTTCCATTTGCCGAAAGTGCAATCTAGACAAAGATGTGAGGCGAGGTTTATTATTTTGTTTTCATTAAGCTAGGCCTTTTAGAAACTTTCTGTCAAATAATGATTGCCTAAAATAAAAAACCTTCATACTAAAATAATAAACATTCCTCAAACGAGATCGAAGTATTAAAGGGAAAAAAACGAATTGAACTCATCGAGATTGAGATTGAGAGAGAGTGAGAGAGCGGATAATCCATCTCTTCCTACAAAACTGCTTGTAAAAACTCCGCAACAGATTGTGCTAATCTCTATAAGAGAAGCTGTTGTTGGCCCATGGATTTAAAAGCACCAAACTGGTCTTAAGCAACAGGGTCCCAACCTGTTGCCGGAGGATGGGTGTCAAGTCCTGGAGTGAGGGTGTCAAGTCCTGGGACCGCCACTGGTGGCGGAGGAGCAGCAGGTTCCCACGCGTCTCCTGAAGTAGCACCTGTATGCCAGAAAACAAATATTAATTATCAAAGATGAAGCATGACCGAGTCCAAAGCATATTAATATGTATTAGTGCAAAGAATCTTCTTTGCAATTTCATGGAGAACAAATATGATCATAAATGATTAAGTATTAGATGAAAGTTTCACTTTGGCAGGATTGTACAATCTTAAACAATTTCATGGAGAGCACACACTGATCTCTTTAAGCAATAATCATTAGGGAAGAAGCTCTAGAAAGGTTTTAGTCATCAGAATTACCTGGAGCCCCAGGCCAATCAACAGGCACAGCCATTCCCGTCGCAGGAGGAGCAGCCACTTCACCACCCCACTGAACCTCGCTTGTTTGTGTGGCCCATTGATCCATGCCAGTAAGAGGGGGCCCTGCAAAATCAGGAGCCCCATATTCAAGGGCAACAACAGGTTCCTCCTCCTCTTGTTCTTTAGCCTCCTCAGGTTCTCTGTAGAAAAACAAATCTACCTGCAAAGATTAAATGGGAAGCAGTTAACAATATGAGGAAAAGAGTAACAGGGGAAAAGGTTGATAAAGAATGGCACAACGCAGATATAATTGAGCTTAACTCTAATGCAATCTACGCAACTGTGCTTTTAAACCATAATGAAAGAAAGAGAGAGGTCCAATAGTCCTGTAATAATTTAAGCAGCCTTCTAACCTGAGCATGCATCAGGGCTTGTGACTATACTTGTGTGTATGTGTGTGTGTGTGTATGAGGGAATAGTTCAATGATAATTGAAGTAGCCTTTCAAACTACACATGCATCAGTTCTTGAGAACTCAATCTGTGAGTGTGTATGTGTGTGTGTGTGAGAGAGAGAGAGAGAGGGAGAGAGAGAGAGAGAGATTGCAACCATTTAATAATAAGCATGCATTTTAGATTCCAATGACTCATAGAATCATGTGATAGCTACACCTAAAGCACTCATCTTCAACCCTTGCCGAAGGGGAGTTAAGAAACCATGAAAGACAGAGAACACTACCATTGTCACTTACCATGACATCCCATTGATGTCCTGGTTGAATGGTGCCCCTCATCTGAAGAACCATCCTAGCCAATAGCCAAAAGAGACAGCCAATGCTGTGCTTGCCCTTGTTGTTAGCTGGAATACCAATATCCACATGTCGCATGGGTGAATCCGTATCACAAAATGCAATTGTCGGGATGTTGCCCAGTGCTGCCTCCTTGATGGGCTGCCAAATAAATTCAAAGTAATCAAAGTTCATGGATGACTAAAGCTTACACACTGAATGGCTCACCCTAGACAGATAGAGAGAAAAAACGGCTAGTTGGCAAGGCTTAGAAGCCATGCTTATGGATGGAGTGTTGCTGTGCACACGAAGGGGGGAGAGAGAAAAGAAGAGAAGGGGGGGAGGAAAATGAGAGAGAGAGCATCGTGGAGGAAAGATTTTTTTTGTGCGTGTGTGTGTTTATGATGAGAAAGAGGGAGGTTCACACATCATACAGACTCATCCTGAATGGATAAAGTGAGAAATATAGACATTCGCATACTAAACAGGCTCATCCTGAATTGGGGGTTGGGGGCAGGGGGGGTGGTGGTGTGGCGAGAGAGACAGAGAAAGATTCCCAACCAAATTCATCCTGGGGAGAGAGGACGATATTCACAAGTTCACCATTTGGGGGGGAAGGGGAAGAGAGACAGGGATTCACATACTGAACAGCTCATCCTGGAGGGTAAGAGAATTACCTGATGATCTGTCCTGGGGTCAGTCAGGATAAGAAGACGAGGCTCGTTAAATGAGGTCTGCAGTTGATTGGTGAATGTTCCAGGCGTGTGTCTCCCTGCAATGGGGTGTGCACCAATATAGTGTGCAAATTTAAGCACAGCTCGCTGACCATAGGGCCTCGCAGATTGGACAATGATGTCCTGAGGGTTCTCAATAGCAACTATAACTCTAGCAGCAAGTTGAAGTTTCTCCCATGTCTTCCCAAGATTGATGATGTAAATCCCTACCAAATGTAACAAAAGAAAGAGCTGACAAATCGACTTGCAGGGTTTCAGTATAAAGGTGTTCTTTTCCGAGGCTTTTGGTTAAGTGAAACGGTTTGATTTTTTTTTTTTTTTCCCTCCCCACGCATTTGCAACATATATTATTAAAGAAAATTATGGAGAAACACCAATTGGAGTATAACTCTCTCTCTAATGAAAGATGCAGAAGAACACTGTGAATAAAACCCATTCACAAGATTAGTAAATTGGAAGTGAAAGATATATATCATCACAAGGAAAAAGCATGAAGCAATGCAATAATGATCGAAATGATTCTAATTTAAGGTTGGAATGCATGACTCAATCAAGTGGAATTCAGTGCAAGCAGGTGAAAGAAGTTGAATTGTAATGCACAGTCTCACTAAGCAGATACATGCTGCAACTCTATACAATTAAAGAACTGAGAATTACACAGAAGTGAAAGCTACACTCAATCATTCATCAATATGCCAAATTTTCATTTTTCCCCAACAAATATAAAGCACAAACAGAAAATATGCTACCAAACTGAACTTTTATTGTACAATTGAGATTGGGTGATAATTGTAATTCATTTGCTTCTAGAGTAAAATTGCTACAAGGATAAAATCCGTATTGGATCTTCCTTTCAGGTCACTTGATACACATGATGGCATTATTTCAAGCTAACATACGTCAAAAACTCATATGCCTAATGATGCATATCACACTAAGCCAAACACAGAACCGAAGACCTTAAGAGATAGCAATAAAAACTAAGAGTTAATCAACCTACACAGACACCTGCTTAAGACACCCAAGATGATAATGATACAAAAGATTTAATGACACACTTAAACACAGTTACAATTCACACAAATATGGCAACCAATCATCAAAATGAATGCATTTAAATGAACTTTATTATCAAAGTGGAAAGGGCGAGAAGTCAACAGCCTTAGAAAAAGAATAAACATCTCTTAATTGCCTATGAACCACTATCGGGCTCAGTGGTATTTTTGCAGCTATACATTGGGTATAGACTACATATCGATTGTGTTTTTTTGTTACTGGTCCTATTGTGTATGTTGGCAGATGTAAAATGTATTTATACCACTATACCCACAAACAACATCTCACATAAGGGATGCCATGTAACTTTCACGGTTTATGAAAATCCTATTTCAGTTCTAACAAGTTATCCAGACCTGCAGGCAGACGTAAATCATAGCAATGCCAAATACTAACCTGATCCATCTGAGAGACTGTTACCACGTGTCAGATTTTTCAGTATAAATCCTAAATTTCTACAAATATTAGTATTCAGTCAACCACAGCCTTTCTTCTCATAGGCAAACCTACTCACATTAAAATCGCCAAATTATAGAATTTTTATCAAAAAACAAACGGCATCAAGCTCAATCAATGTAAAATTACTCGGCTCAGGCTCAGTGGTCACCCCCAGCCAGAGCTGAGTACCTTCGGAGTTATGTACAACTGCACAAATGGCTCAAACATTGCAAAATAAAAAACATTAAATTTCCTAAAAATAAGAAAAACCAGTAAAAAGAAAAAGAAGTTATAAACAGCATTAAAAGTCTATAGAGTTACCCATGGTTCACAAAAAAAAAAATAGAAAGTCCACAAAAAAAGGAAAAAAGTTTAGCAAATGGAAAATGGGAAAAAAAATGATTGATAGCTTGAAAAAATCACGAAAATCCAAAGAAAGGAAAAATAAAACAACATATAACAAGAAATATTCACAAATCACCACAAAATAAAATAACAAACATATAGAACCATATTTATATGTCATTTGTAAATGATTAGTAACATAATATACAAATTCTTTTGATTTTTCTTATTTACCCAAATTTGTACAGTAAACTCGCCTGGATAGTGCCAAGGCCCAGTACCTCGGAAGAGTCTGAGTCCGATTCAACTCAGCAGCCGAGGTTTGGAACACTGGCCTCAACCAAGACTAATATCTTGGATCAATAGTACCATACACTGCAGTGATTAGCCATGATAAACCACCCTCAAATCTCAATGACACGATCTTTATAGTTTTTTTTTTCTCTCTAAACGGTGAAAAAGGTTCTTCTTCAATCCTTAATCTCGTTTAACCCTAACATCAATAGGTAAACACCGTATTTAATCCTAGGATCCTAATACCAAGCCCAAATATTAACTTTCAAGTAGATATAGCCATAATGTGAAGATCCTAAAAAACACCAAATTAAACAGACACTATGCCACACTAACCACAAGAACCTTGTAATTAGCTCAATAACCCAAAATCAGGAAAAAAAAAAAAACTAATATAAGCATAAAAGACTTCAATCTTAGCAAGAACCCATATTTACGAGCATAACATGGGAATGCATAAAAACCAGAAAAAATTGATCACAAAAACCACATTTTTCATACAGGAAAATAAAAATACCATCTGTCCTTCTCTTAAAAGCGTATCGTTCCATCTGGAAATCGCAATTTTTTGTGCCAAGGTGGACATCGGCAGCAAGCATCATCTGAATGTCTGCCTCTTTCTGAGACAGCCCGGTTTTTGTCGCCATTGTTGATCTCTCTTTCTCTTTCTCTCTCTCTCTAAATACCCTAAAACCCGAGGCTTCTGCTCAATGCTCAGTCGGCCAAGCAGTCGTGTGCACTCTCTCTCTTTAAGTTACTTGTACTGAAACCCTAATTCGGGTGGAGTATAATGAGAAGGAAAACTTACGTATAGGTCCATTATATTTACCATAATTACAAACATATCTTAAAGTTTCTGTTATTACACATGTATCCGTTTTTTCAACTTAATAATATTTATAAAAATAAATAAAAATAAAAATAAATAAATAAACTACTTATTTTCAATTTTTCACAAACATAATTATTTAAATATTTTGGTTTTTTAAAATCCAAAAATTCTTAAATTTTGGTTTTTAAAAACCAAATATTCTTAAATTTCAATTTTTGAAAAACAAACAAATTTGTGCTAAAACACCTGAAATAACTATCTGAGAAGCAATCCTTTATATTTTAGGGTTCCAAGAAATATTTTCTCACCCCTACTCTACCACTCACCCTCTCTCTCTAATCTGCGAACTTGAACATATTTACTCTTGTGCCTTGACGTGATTGGTACGTTTTTAACAATTGCCTTATACTATTGATTAAATTGAATGAATTAATGTAATATTTTATGTTTGTATTAATATTTACTATATATCTTTGAAGTGGATTTTTTGGATAAATATTAGATTGAATAATTGATTTATTTACTAGTTCATTGTATTGCTCAATTTTGCCCACGAGCAGGGCCAACTTGCCAAATCTATTATGTAAAAGTTAAATTTTATAAACCCTCACTAGTTATATATCCCAAATTTTTATGTCTTACTATTTATTGCCTACAACACGAATTTTGGTAATACAGTAGCATCGACAATGGTTACCGAGGGAGTGCAATTGGTTTTTCGATTAAGGAGTCTGTTAAGACAAACCCAAATGAAAGCATTTTTTTTATAGAGGGGAAAATTGAAATTGAAGGTTAAAAAATATTGTGGAAATAGTTCATTGGAGCAATTAAAAAGTCATTTTGGGAATTTAACATTGTATGATCCAAACAAGTTGACCATTATTAGTAATAGCAATGGACCCAGACCCGACCCGGGACCCTCCGGGTATACCTGACATGGGTTCGGGTATGAGTCCAACATTTGGACACGATAGGTTGGGTTTGAATCCAAAACCCGGATCCGAAAACTATTCGGATCGGGTCCGATTGGACCCGAACCATATCCAACCCATACCCGTAAATTGTTGGTCTTGTATGTACTTTGGAGCTTTTTCTCACTTTTTAATGAAAGTCACTGTTAATTGTTCAAAAAAAAAAAAAACAAAAAAAAAATCTCAAAAAGGGCTGAGATAACATAATAAGCCCATTATGTGTAACATTCTCTTTATTGGTCGAATGTAATATTCTTGATCATTGATCTAATCAATCAAACATAGGTTTCATAAAGTATGGAGTAAATTAACAGGGCATCTACAGGTGCTCTAAGAATGTTTGCCCTTGAATAAATAATATACCCTAAAAAATAATGAATTTGGCTTGCTCAATGGGTATCAATTTCTCTAATCTCATTCAAAGAGAGTTACATTTTGAGCAAATACATGCTTGAGTATTTTGTTCCAATTTTAAAAACAGGTAACTAAAACCCTATACTGTCAAGATGATAAGAAAAAAACACCTTTTTCAAAACTATGGCTTTTGGAAATGATATTATTTTAAAAAACCCTATGTGTTTTTCTTCTTAAAAAAAAACTATGATGAAATATATTATAAAAGGGTGTGAATTTCTATAAGGTTGCAACCTTGTAATGTAAAATCAATATGTATAGGGTCATTTGTTAGACGACGGCTATTGTTCTTGCTATAAATAAATACATAAAAAAGATAAGTTAGTGGGAATTTGGGCAATTACTCTTTGGTGATAATAGAGTCCGAAACTTCATTGTGGGGCTGGACATTAAATAAGATCTACAATTTTAGTAGCTCAATTTTTTTTATAATATAAAAGCAAAGCATATTTGCAAAATAAAGGTCTTAAATATCCCTCTATAGATATTTTTTTTTATGCTTTGGTCAAATGTCATGAAAATCATAAGTAATTTCCCAAACCCTATTGCAAGACTTATCAACTCACAAAGATTGTAAAGAGAAAAATTATGAATTTTTCATATTTGATTTTTGGAAATTTATCATAAATATATTTTATTTTTCATCTAATTCGAAAAAAAAAACCATTAATTTTCATAAACCTTGTCCACACCCTTCATGGTTGTTGTATTACCTAATGATTACTACATTACGGTACTTAAAGTACCGTAACATAAAGTATCATAATTACCAAACTAAGCATTATAATACTTTAATTAGCGTAATGACCAGGCTTAGCATTATAGTACTTTAAGACCATAATGTTCAAATTTCAGTAGCCTGTTGAGATGTGGCAAATGAAGGAGCAAGAGGCCCAATGAGCATTACGGTTTTCAAAGCACTGTAATGTTTAGCCTGATCATTATAGTAATATGATTACTGTGAATGCTATTTTGGTTAAAAAAATGCTAAAAATGAGGAAAAATGATGTGGACGAGGTTTATGAAAGTTGACGTTTTTTTTTTCAATTAGACAAATTTGAGCTATATTTCTTATAACTTACTTATATTTTTAGGGGTCTAACGATGTATTTTTTATCATAAGTATATTTTGTCTCGGAAAAAATCCCTATGCAAGAGTGTTTTCTTAAATTCCAAGTTGGGTGAGGCTTGTATAAGATGTCAAAGGTAAACAATCAAGGTAAGGTACACCTCTAAATATTGTTAAAACATATATTTGTGATGCCAAAACTCTTGTGATGGCCTAAAGATCTATTTTCACCCCTATTATGAAATTGAAAACTAAAAAATTAATGTATATCTAGTAGATTTATGAATACTCTAAAATATTGACAATGAATGGTATAGATAATGTGTTACGAGTTTTACTATTTTTAATGATTGAAATTCATTCTTTCTTTTATATATATATATATATATATATCAAGGTCAAGATGATCAATTTGAGGGTTTTATAGCGAGGAAACAACCTTTTTCCCTTGAGTTTTTAAGGTGCACCTTACTTGTACAGTATAATGTTAAAGTCTTATATAAATTTTTTCCTTTCAAGATTAGAGGATGTAACTTCATAAATAGAGATGAAGAAAATTTTACACATTCTGGTGCACAAATAAAAGACGTCTAAATATTGAATTGTGATTGTTCATTTTCCACAGTTAAATCTAAGTGATTAGAAACTCAAAATTAGTTTTATACAAGGCGCCCTCGTAAAAGCATGATGCACTCCAAGTGTTCTAAACCTTATGATGGTTTGAAAATCTATTTTTATCCCATGCTATGAAATTTTAAAATTTATTTTTTATTTTTATATCCATACATATCGAGGTCAAGATAATCAATTTGAGAGGCTCCAGTGTTAGAATACTCTCTTTTAAAGATTTTTGAGGTTACACCTTACTTCAATAGTGTAAAAGTACTGTAGCGATTGTAAGTTCATGTTAGAAGGTAATTCAAGAAAGAGTAATGATCCTAGGAGACCTTCCTACACCTATGTGTGTAGGACCATAAATGATCTCCATTAAATTTGGCATAGATCTCTAGAACAGTTATCACATAGGTGTGGGACTTGATTTTTCTAGAAATCTATGCCGAATTTAATGGTGATCATTAGGGGTCCTACACACATGGGTGTGAGAGGATCTCATAGGATCATTACTCTTCAAGAAAATGAGCATCGTAAGTCACTTCACTATTTTATCCATGTCCTTTCATCTACATGGTTTATAGGAGTTGATGTAGAAATGAGTCACCTCTTAAAATTCTATTTTTTAGATGGTTTTTTTACTTAATTTTTAAGGACATATAATCCCTAACATGGAGGTCATGAATATGTAAAAATAAATAAATTTTAAAAATTAGAAATAATAATTATATTAAGAAAACATTTAAACCGTTAATTTCAATTATTTTGAGATAGACTACCTATTGGCTTTATCTATACCTCGGTGACCGCAAATGTAGAAATGCAGTTTGTGCTGCATGAAACCAATTTTCCATAAATAAAAAAGTAAAAGGTATTATTTATAAGGATACCCACTTATCTTTCGTACATAGATATCACAAATCATTATTGTCTATTAATTTTAAAAATGAGTGGTTGTAAAAGTATCATTGAATATAGACAGAGTTCTTGAAAACAAATTATTGAACTTCATGACTCACTCCAAATCATCCAACTTGACATCTAATGAGTGATAATGATTATGACATCATCTATGTATAAAAGACAAATGGTCTCTTTATAGACAATCTCATAACAAAAATTAAACTATAGGACATACAAAGCTAATGGTCGGTCTTAAAAGTCCCCAAACTAATTTTTGGAAATTGGGGACCTCACTTTGTTTTCTGTGAAATGCATCATCAATTTTGAAATTTGGAATGTTACTCTATAAAACTATTTATGGACTACTTCATTGCAAAGTGTTTTCAACTAATATTTTTTTTTATTTTATAATTGACCAACTATTAGTTCCCCATAAGTATATGACTGTACAATTGTTATCATGGTTTTTAAACTCGGGCGAGTTGACTCGACCTTGCCCCACCACCAAGGCCGAGAAGCCACGAGTAGCTTGTACAACTACATTTATAGGGATGAATGTACATGACTTGGTGTAAAAAATTAATAATCGCCCTGAAAAAATATGGAACTCGCCCAATTATATGTATTTCGTGAATTAAACTCGGTGTTCATGATAAGTAAAATTTTATTTAACTGAAAATCATACATTTGATTTTGATTGATTTTTAGAAGCTTAACAATAATATTATATTTATCATAGGTTTTTGGTTCATGATAACCCAAATCGAATAAAAATTTATTACGATTTTTTATTTTTATTTTTAGGGTTCTTCATGGATAAATACAAAATCCGCCAATATCTTCCATTCTCCCTTATTTCTTAACGAAATTGATTGGTCATAGGTTATTTTTCAATCTATTGCAATTATCTACAAAAGCCCTCTTCTGTTTAGCACATCAAATAATAA